AAACCCTAAACCCTAAACCCTAAACCCTAATCTGTGGTGCACAGGCCCTGGCTCTGGGGGCCGCCAGTGCTGCGGTTTTGGGCCGGAAGCAAAAGAAGACAGGGGGATTTTGCCGCGCTGCTGTTTGTTCTTTTTCTATGCTGCCTTTTTGCTGCTGCTGCTGCTGCAGTTGTTGCTGCTGTTGCTGCTGCTGCTGCTGCTGCTGCACTAGCCGTCGGCTTTCGTGAAGTGCGTTTCAGTTAGCTGCTTCTCTCTCCCTTTTTCTCTTTCTCTTTCTTTGTCTCTTTTTGTTTCTTTTTATTTCTTTTTGAATTCCTTTTCTGTTTCCCCTTTGCTTCATCTCTTTGTATTTTTTTCTGTTTTCTTTGTGTCTCTGTTTTTGTTTTCTTTCCTTTTTCCTTTTGGCTTTCCACTTTCTTCTTTGTATCTTTTTATTCATTTTCTCAGCAGCAGCAGCAGCAGAAATGTGTGAGTCCTTGCGTGTGATCAGCAGCAGCAGCAGCAGGCGCAGGCGCAGCAGCAGCGGCAGCAGCAGCAGCAAAGTGTCTTTGCGTCTATTAAGGCTTGCTGCTGTGTCTCTTTGCTTGTTGTTTGCTGCTTCTCAGTCAGTAGCAGCAGAACTGGCTGAGTCCTCGCGTTTGCTGCAGCAGCAGCAGCAGAAGCTGCTGGCCCCAAAAGCTGCTGTGGCTCTTGCTGAGGAGAATTACAAAGTGAGGACGGGAAAGCTGCTGCAGGCGCTGCAGCTCTCTGCAAAACAGGTGCGTCTGCTGCTGCTGCGTCTGCTGCTGCTGCTGCGTCTGCTGCTGCTGCGTGTGCGTCTGCTGCTGCTGCGTGTGCGTCTGCTGCTGCTGCTGCTTCAGCCTCTCTGCTGCTGCTGCTGCCTCCCTGCTGCTGCTGCTGCTGCTTCTGCTGCTGCTGCTGCTGCCTCTCTGCTGTTGCTGCTGCAGCAGCGCAGGCGTGCGGGAGCTGCTGCATGCAGACTCGCGAGGACTTTCGGCGTTTGGCGGAAGCAGCACTGCCGCACCGCTGCAGCTTGGCTTTTGACCATCAGCAGCAGCAGCTGCGCATGCAGACTCTGGACCGGAACCAGCAGCAAGTCAGCAGCAGCCCCACGGCGCTTTCGGGCGGGGAAAAAAGCTGCCTCCAAGTGGCCTTTTTGGCAGCTCTTGCTGCTCGCAGCTGCTCCCCTTTGCACCTTTTCGACGAAGTTGATGTCTTCATGGATGAAAGAAATAGAATTAAAAAGTAAATTGCAAAAAACGGCGTCTTCGCACGCGCCCCACACCCCTCTCCGGTGTACATACACCCCAGTGCATGCGCCTCCCGGGTGTACGTGCGACTTTTCGGAATTGCAAAAAATGCCACTTTCCACTTTTAATATTTTCCCAAGTCTTTTCTGTATTTGTTTGCCAAATATTCCGCATTTTTGGTTTTTTATTTCATTTAAAAAGTCAATTTTGAGTTTCTAAATTCAAATCCAATTTCTGCTTCTAAAGATCTTTGCTACTTTTTGCTGCTCCCAAGGAGCTCGAAATAAACCCTAAACCCTGCACCCTAAACCCTAAACCCTAAACCCTGCACGCTTAACTTTATGCCTTGCTATCTAAACCTTAAACTAAACCCTAAACCCTAAAATTTGCACTCTAAACCCTAAACCCTACACCCTTCGGCCTTTCCCCTAAACCCTTAGGCCTAAACACTAAGCCTTCGGGCTAAACCTTAAACCCTTGGGCCTAAACCCTAATCCCTTCGGCCTAAAACAAGAAACCTTTGTCCTAAACCCCCGCCCCTAAACCTTTCTGCGCAAACCCTAAACCGTAAACCCTAAACCCTTTTGTGTTTTTGCGTTCAGCTTCAGTTTGCTGCTAGACATGGCCCTGCAAATGCGCCACTCGAGCCAGTGTTTCTTTATTACCCCTCATTGGGAAATTCAAAAAGAAGTGCAAAGTAAGAAGAACAAAAAGGCCTTTTTGGCACTTTCTGAGGTGTACAGACACCCCACCTGCATGCGGTGTACATACACCCCACAGCCTCCTCTGCAGTGAACATACACCCCAAGACTAGCCGCCACTGCCTTCTTCCTTTGCAGTGTACGTACACCCGAGTGCTTCTGTAGGGCCACAGCCTCCTCCTAGAGTGTACATACACCCCACAGCCTGCTGTTAGTGTGTACATACACCCTACAGCCTGCTTTTAGGGTGTACATACACCCCACAGCCTCTCTAGAGTGTACATACACCCCACTGCCTCTTTCTACAGTGTACATACACTCCACAGCCTCCCTCATACATACCACAGCTTCCCTCTAGAGTGTGCATACACCCGACAGTTTAAGATTTACCTGGGATTAGATATAAAATTATTAGAGGGGCTTTAAATGTATCCGGAGTTAAAAATAGAAGAAATAGTAGATCTAAATATGGTACTAAAAAAATACTTTAAGTTATTAAAATTTGATTTATTAGTAATAATGTACTCTTTAAACAATTTTTTTTTTTATTAATAAAAGGTAATCAGGTAATCAACACAAATCTACTTCTTAAATAAAGTTTATTTTTATTAACTAATAACGTTTTATTAAATGCTATATTTAAAATTAATAGGAGTGTACGTACACCCCGCTGTGGCGCTTCGTTGCGGTGTACGTACACCCCAGCGTCTGGGGCGTTTTCTGTTTTTGCATGCAGGCCGTTACTCTCCGGAACTTGTTAAGGTATTTAACATTAGAGGGAGTGCTTCTCTTTGAGTTCGCTGGCCAGCCCCGCAGCTAGCTAGCCAACTAGCCCGCCCGCCAGCTAGCCAGCTAGCTAGCTAGCTAGCTGGCCAGCTAGCTGCCCGCTCACGGCGCCCGAACTAGCCAGCTCGCTAAAGGGAGCAAGCCTCGTCTACTTCAGAGGCTACCAGACTATCCGACACCCGCCTATCTAGCTAGCTAGCTAGCTACCTATCTATCTAGCTAGCTAGCTAGCAAGCTAGCTAGAGGCCTCGGGAGCTGTTGAGGGGCTCGCGCCCTGACTTCGGGGCTTTGCTTTGCATGCGCCTGGAGGGCCCCCAAAACACTTTCTTCTTTTCTTGTTTTGCCTCACTTTTATTTTGCTCTTAGCTTTTGCTTCCTGCCGCTGCAGGGGGCCACCAGAGCCTCTAAACCCTAAACCCTAAACCCTTAACCCCCATATCGGAGCCTCTGAGACTGCGTATCTGCCGCGCGCACTTGATGATTCTGTCTTTACCTCGTAAAGCTTGCACGAGACGCGCTTGCCGGTGGGCTAGCTAGCTAGCTAGCTAGCTGGCTAGCTGGCTAGCTAGCTAGCTACCTAGGCAGCCAGCCAGGCAGCTCGTCGGCCAGCTAGTTGGCCGGCTAGCCAGCTAGCTAGCTAGCTGGCGGGTGGCGCGTGAAGTTCCCAAGTTCTTGAGGTGCACAAGTACGTACTCAGCTAGCTGGCTAGCTAGCTAGCCACGCAGGCAGCCAGCCGGAGACTTGTCAACTAAGTAGCTAGCTGGGCAGTGTGCCAGCCAGCTCGCGTGCCCCACAGCTAACTAGCTACCCAGCTAGCCACCTAGCTAGCCACATGGCTAGCCATCCAGCTATCTACCTGACCAGCTAGCTAGCCAGCTACCTGACTAGCCAGCTAGCCAGCCAGCTAGCCAGCTAGCTAGCTAGTTGGCTGGCGGTTGGGGCGCAGGCTTTTGCTGTTCTGCGGGCTTGAGGGCCCTCTGCACGATCTCGAGAGTGTCTGGAGAGAGCCCTGGGCTGTCGCGGATGCGCTGCAGCTGCTGCTGCATCATCGCCTGCCGCTGCGGGTCATAGCGCTGCCACGGGAGAAAAGCACCAGCAAGTCTTGCTGCTGCTTGCGGATTCAGCGCGTCCACCTGCGCCGGACACAGGGCGGGCACTGCGCGTGAGCAGCACAGCAGCAGCACAGCA